TGTTTTAATGGGAGTGAACATCCCGTTGTTGGGCCGTAGTCCACCTGCCACCTGTAGTGCAACACATTTTTTCAAGGAGGATCCCAAATTCCAATTTGCCACTGGTGCGGCTCTTTTTTTTTCAGTACCACAACGTTTTTTTCCAGGGGGCCCCAGGGTGGAGACTTTCCATTTCCTGGGCCTCCAACTTTTGATTTCCACAGGTGGACCACAGCTGGAAAATATGCAGAGGGGAGGGGGGAGTTGTTCTAGGATTAGGAGGCCAGAATTGATGATATAGCATAGTCTTCTATAATTCTATATACTAATTATGATTATTATTAGCATCATCATCATTGGTATCATTATCTCACAATCGACATAGAATCATCATAAGCTCATCATCATCATCAGATTCATCATCATCATCATCATCGTTATAGAAATTAGCAGTGTTTTGGCAGGTCCTTACATATTTCTTTTTTATTTTTCATTTTCTGGAGAGGTTATGTACTCAGCAGTGTGAGCATGAAGTTCAGTTTTCAGTGTTACCTACAATTCAGTAAGGTTTGTGAGTTCACCAATTTCTTCTGGTATGGGCCCATCAAAAGAATTGAAGCGAAAAAACCTGCAAGCAAAAAGAACAATAGCAAAAAGCATACATGTCATGATTTCTCTCCTATGCTCACCAAGCTTTGCAAGTCTATGGATTGCATGGACTCCATATCAGACATGCGGCAAGCTGTTTATCGATGACCAGACTCAAAGACAGATGGGAAAACGTAGCATATGCTTGAGCACAGAGAGTTGGCATTCATTTCAAACACACACACACACACACATGCATGCACATTGCGCATACACACCAACACAATACTTAGCGATGTGTATTATTTAGAACAATCCATACAACTACCCGGTAGGGCCTCGCATTGCTCCGCCTTGTCCATCAGAGCACAGACGCAAAATTAATACTGAGCTTGTCCGTGAATACAATGACACATTTTGTCAATGTGATTGAAAATGCCAAACCTATTTTTTAGAGGTAAAAAATGTCAGAATCTCCAAAACCACCCAATTAGTCCAATCCATTAGAGATAATATAGAGCTATTCTATATGCGAGGCTATGCCCGCTTAGCCCTAC